GTTGTGTAGGTCATGGTTGTACGTGGGCTTGTGTACTGCCAGGGCGCCCACATCTAGACAGGAGGACGATTAGGGTCCTCATCCAAAGCCTTTGGCTCAAAAGCTTAACCGCAATGCAGCGGTGTTTGGCGGAAAAATGCAAATGCATTACCTTTTCCACGGAACAAGTCACCATACATGTTCCAACCCCCAACCTGGAGGACCAGGATAGTGTGATCGTCGGACCTCTACCCATTGACCAACCTGGTGTGAGAGACTCTGTGAGTGTCGCGCGGACACCCTCCAGTATAGCTCAATGGGTCGCCGAGGTACACAAACCGCCACACCTCGATAAGGTCCAGTCTCTTCGTGACGGGGTCCAGTCTCTTCGTGACTGGAGCCCAAACTCCTCGCAATTCTGAACCATCCTGCATCCATCGAACAGGCGCGGCGCACGCTTATCAAACGGTGGGTCTGAAGATCTGCTATAAATGAAGAACGTGTTTGGCATCATAGACCACTCAGTCCTACGCGGACATAACACTGGTACGCCTCCGCTTGACAAGGATGTTAACACCACTGCTTCGTCTTCGTTTAGCCATGGTACGCTGTCCCTGGGCATCTCCATTCTTCCCCCATTGCGCAAAAGGTAGCTGACATCTCATTTGCCTCCGTGACTTGCCTCTTTAAATGGCTGTTTGCTTGTTAGAAATGACCGAGCTGTTTTATTGATCCGGTTATTTATTAATGCGTCAACCGCAATTGTGACGCTTGGTGGCTTTCACCCTGCAGATTTAGTAGCATGCACGAGGGATGAAAACCCCTGTGGTGGACGGGTACTCCCTGCGGGGAAGTTCGCCCTGATACGTTGCACCATGTTGCGTTCGTATACTCGCAAACCCTCCAGTAGCACTGTTGTTCCACCCGTCGCCGGTGGTCCTGTGCCTGGCCTTTAATTCAGGAAAACCATAAAAGAGCACCGTTGCAGTTTGTCTGTAGCTGGATTGTACTTGTTTATGTTGTCACCTGTCCCGCAACACCACAAAATACGAGCGAGCGACGGCTGCTCTTTCTTTGATTTGACATATATATATGCATGTACTTGTGGTAGCCAGAAGTTCTGTGCAAGGCTCACGACTAACATCGACGTGCGAGGAGTTGCCGCCTTTGTCTCAGTTGGGTTTCTTCCATCCTGGTCCACTTCATTCAGATGTAAAACATTCGTTCTTCTTTCTTGTTCACTGGAGAGATCATGTACATATAAACTGTAAATTCCTTATTATTTCCTGATCACAAGCAGGCACGGCTAGCGCCTAATGACCGTTTTTCGCCATACACTGTTCATTCCTTGGAGCTGAGAGCAGCTACTCGGTGACTGGAGAACCTTACCCTTACTTTCCTGTTAAACTACGATTGTCATCCATTATCTCGGAGGTTGTTGCCCGACCGCTTACCACTTGGCCGCTGTTCTGCTCACATTAACCCTCTTCGCACGACGGAGATCCTGTGTTCGGGTTCTTTTGGTAAGCTAAAATCGGTCGTCAAGTAAAACCGGTTTGATGGCACTCCCGCAAATATTTTCTTCAGGATCTCGGCCACAAACCCTTTCCCACTTGAGCCTGCAAATGCAACTACGAGAAAACAATTTGTCTGACCCCAAAAATCTCTGGGGTGAGTGCTTTTGTGCCCGATAAATTTTTGCTCAAATTTGGCCAGCTTGGATTTCTGCCGCAATTTCGGTTTGCCTCTTTTACAAATGTTATTCCGCATACGATGTTCGGTTGGCCCCACACATCAGAACCACATTCCAATCCAACCTATCCCTTGCACCTGACTTCCCAGTCAGGTTTGGTTTCTTGTTTTCTAGATACAGAAAACATCAACTCCAAGCGAGCCCGCTAACAGGAGGAGAGGAGCTTATTGGCTACCTTGTTTTAGAATGTGGACATTGAAGTTGACCGGACGAACCGGGCCCTCTAGTCTTGAAGATGGAGTTGGAGACACATGAAGATGTGAAAACCATGTGACGAGCAGGTGTTGCAGAACCGATGCAAGACGAACGGAGCCATCAGCCCTAAGTGCTGGGATTACTATGTGATGTTCATTAGTGTGATGAGGAGAGAGGGAAGAAAAATTGTGTGAAAGAAAGAAGGGAGCACCAGAAGTAGTCTGTTTTAGCTTACTCGCTATTTCCTATGTAGCGAGTGAGGCGATCCGGCTGATGGCATCACGCGCCGGCAGATGTGGCATGATTTTTCTTGTTAGACGCACGCGTCATATTTGCACATGCATTGGAATGCTGCCAAGTTGCGCACAACTCAACAGAGGGACGATTAAAGTTTCCAATCGAGGCTTTTAATCCGAAGCCCAACCACAAGACACCGGTGCCCCGCGGGAAATGCAGATGCATTACCATTTCTACGGGACAAGTCTCCACATTTTGCAAGCACAGCCCAGAGGACCAGATGGTTGTGTTTGGCAGACCTTTTTGTCAAACCTGTATTTGTCAACCTGATATGAGAGACTCTGCGAGTGTGTCAGAGTCATCCCCGCTCACTGGGTCGCTGAGGTGCGTAAACCGTCAAATCACGGCACGGTTCAATGTTTCCGTCACTGGAAATCAGGATCTCAATATGCTTGCCAATTTTCGCCATCTCCTTTTCTGCTGTTGCCCGCCGCTTCAAATGTTGGCGATATGATCTCCACTCAGCAAACAGATAACTGTATTTCATTTCCATGCCGGTTTGTGCGCGGTCAAGCCTAAATCGGGTATTGTCTACTATTTGTGGCGTTTTCCTTTCTTTCGCGCAATTTCCAGTGGCTGTAGATCGCACATTCGTGCTTCGTTCTTACACTTGCCGTATGGTTATTCGTGCAGACATGCTGTCTATAGGTTTAGAATGATAATGACTATTATCTTTATCCGTTTGTATAGCGTGAAGCAGTATATATTTCCTGGTCCTTTATATTAACCTTCTTTTGGGGAGTAATAAGCCACATAGGAATAATAAACATTTTTGTTTAGTATAAATAATTTTATGATGATAATTAATAAATAAAGAGTATTCATACTATTGTGTTTCTCGAAATCTGCTGAAATCAAAAGCATTTGGGAAAATGCATTACTTCTCACAGACCGCACAAACCTCTTCTGCGTTCATCACAACGAAGAAACCGTTTTGTTCTTACAAGAATGCCGACTTTCGCGGTAACCGATGACCGCTAAGAAGGAGAAAAGTCTGCTGCCACGTATCGGTAAATGGAACAAACTCTAGAAGTAAAACTACCCACTGATGGGGACCGCATGTGCGATCGTTCGCGGCAGCACCCAATTGTGAAGTTTTATCCGAATGCTGTTCTAGAAAGAGGGTTCTCCAAATTATTTGCCAGTTTATAAAGCGGCGAAAAGCATTGAGAGCTACCTTTTCCGCTAAGTAAAGCGAAGGAAGAAATTTCCCATCGCGACTCAGCAGCTCATCCCTGCTAGAATGAACTTTAGGTTGGCCAGTGCACCCCAAGTGGATTAGACATTTAAGCTGTCTGGCCCACCAACAGTACTCCGATCCTATGTACTTGTTTAGAAAAAAGCAAATTAAGGGAAGTGAGGAGAGAAGGGCGAGATGACCCAAGTGGTAAGAGCGCGAATTTACTGACCGGAAGGTCCGCGGTTCGAATCCGACCTCCACCACTCGACTTCCCCTGTCTAGACTTGGGCAACCTGGCAGTACCCAAGCCCTCGTGCTTCCTTCGGGTGGCATGGCAGCTAGGAACCGAAAGTTTGCTACAGCTGAACGCTTTCTAGCTCCAGCGTCCTCGTCACATACACTCTTGTCAACGCAAAACTACGAACAGCTTCTAACCGACTTAGTCTTCACGGTGGAGGACATTCGTCAACTCTTGCACAAGATCAACCCATTCGGAGCGTCGGGGCCCGACGAGGTCCGTCCAAGGATCCTGAAGGAAACGTCCTCCACACTGGCAAACCATTTACACATGGCGTTTCGTCAGTCACTTGACAAAGGCCGCCTTTCCTCTGCTTGGAAGGAAGCGATTGTCACGCCAATCTACAAAACTGGTGACCAACTATCGCTTGGTAGCCATAGGCCTATAAGCCTCACTAGCGTGCCGTGCAAGGTGATGGAACGCATTCTGAAGCGAGCCATCCTAGATCACCTT